TGACACACCTGGGACAGGCACAGGGACAGGGCTGTCCCCATGGGGGGGGTTTGGTGACACACCTGGGACAGGGACAGGGCTGTCCCCATGGGGGGGGTTTGGTGACACACCTGGGACAGGGACAGGGCTGTCCCCATGGGGGGGTTGGTGACACACCTGGGACAGGCACAGGGACAGGGCTGTCCCTGCCGAGCGGGTCCCCGGGGGGCAGCGGGAGGGGTCGGGGGGAGCCCCTGTGCCCCCCCCGGGCCGTGGCTCTGCCAGCTCAGCACCGGCCCCGCACGTGGGGTGAGTCAGCGGGCGAAGGGCCTGGATCAGCACGGGGGGGGCGCGGGGGGTGCTGAGCCCGGCAAAGCCAGAACAATCCGCAGCCACAAAGGGCCGGGACAGCGCGGGGACAACGGGGGGACACGGGGGCGACACACGGGGAGATGTGGGAGGGACATGTGGGGGGGACACTGGGGGGACAACGGGCCCTGCGGGGCATGGGGGGCAGCGGGGCTCCCCCACACCCTGTGGGTTCCCAGCCCCTCCCAGGCTGGGCACAGCAGCGTTGGGAACCCCTGTTGTGCCCCCCAGCCCGGTTGGGGGGACCCCTGTCCTGCCCCCCAAAGCCCTGTGGGACCCCCTCATCCTGTTCCCACCCAGGCCAGGGGGTCCCCTCTCCCCTGCTCGGACCTCAAAGCCCTGTGGGACCTCCTGTCCTGCCCCTGACATTTCAGGGATGCTCTGTCACCCCACAGAGCTTTGAGGACCCCCAAGACTCCCTGTCCTGCCTCACAGACCCCCCCAGGACACCCCAGTCCTGTCTTACAGATGCTCAGATGCCTGCAGATAGCCCCGAGGTGCCCCAGACCCCCAGGACCCCCCCCGTCCTGTCCTGCAGACCCCTCAAGAGTCCCAGGTGCTCCCAAGATCCCACATCCTGCCCCACAAATAACCCAGAGGCCCCCATCCTGCCCCAGAGACCCCCCAGGTGCCTCGAGGACACCCCAATCCTGCCCTGCAGATGCTCCCAGGTGTCCCACACTGACCCACAGACCCCCGGGTGACCCCAGGCCCCCCATCCTGTCCCGCAGACCCCTCGGGTGCCCCCCAAGCCCCCCCATCCGCCCCCCCTAAGCCAGACTCCAAGATGGCGGCGCCCAGCGCGGCCTCAGCCAGAGTCACGTGACGGCAGAAGGGTGGTGCCAAGATGGCGATGGGGCTGTGGAACCACGTGATCGGCGCCTCCAAAATGGCCGCGCCCACGGGGCGGGCGGCGCGGGGCGGGGCGGAGGGGTAATGGCGGCGGTGGGCGGGGTTTCGCTTAAAGGGGCCGCGCGGTACCGGGGAACGGGGGCAAGACTGAGACCCCTCGGGGCGAGGGGGATCCGTGACACCCCCCATCGCAGGAGTGGGGCCGGGCGGGTGCAGCCCCCCCCCGGGGGTAGTGGCTGAGCGACCCCCCGGTTGGCGGTGGGGGGTGACGCGGGGCGTCCCCTCCGGTGTCCCCCCGGTGTCACGGGCGGGTTGAGGGGGGTCATCAGGGTAGGGGTGGGGGGGCAACATCAGGAGAGGGGCTGAGACCCTCGGAGGGGGCTGAGACACCCCCCGGGGGGTTCGTCGCTGTCGTTGGGCAGCACCGGGGGAGCCGGGGGACACCGGGTCGGGGGGGCACAGATCACACCGGGGGAGGACGGAGTCGCACCGGGGGGTCGGGCGGCACCGGGAGGGGGTGACGGGTGACACCGGCGGGTGACGGGCGGCACCGGGCGGCGACGGGTGATTGCGAGGGGGGGCTGAGCGGGGACACCGGGAGGTGACAGGGCGGCACCGGGGGGGTGCCGGGGAGCACCGGGGGGTGCCGGGTGATCCCGGGGAGGGGGGGTCGGCACTAGGACCCGCCTGGCGGGGCCCGCCCGGATTCCAGGCTGGCTCCCGGCGTGACGTCACGCCCGGTCCCGGCCCTCGCGCTCGGGAAAATGCTGCTCTCGGTGCCGCCGCGCTCGGGGCTCCCCGCCTTCGCCTACAACAAGGGCGGCAAGAAGGTACCGGGCCGGGGGGCGGCGGGGGGGGCGCCCCGGGGACGCCCCAGCGCGGCGCTGGCGGGGCCGGGGCCGTCCCGAGGGGCCGGGCCTGGAGCGGGGGGGAAACGGGGCTCTGGGAAGGGGGGGGGACACCCCTGCGAGCGGCCCCCCCTCCCCACGGTGTCAGAGCGGGGACACCCCCCGAGCGCGACCCCCGGGCACCCCCCGCTCCGGTACCGGGGGGCCGCTCGCGGGGGTTCCCCCTCCCTCCCCCCCCGTTCGTGCCTCGGTTCCCCCCCCCCCAACCCCGGTGACCGGTAACGGGGGGTGCGGGGGGGTCCGGGAGGAGGAGGAAGACGAGGGAGGGGGGGTCATCGCCACGACCAGCGACCCCCCGGTGGATCCCCCCGAGCTGCAGCAGAGGCGGGATTTGGGGGGGACAGGGACCCCCGGGGGGTGCGGGGGTGGGAACACCGGGGCAGGGGGAGGATGAGGAGCCTGGAGGGGGTCCCAGGAGAGATGAGGGGGTCGAGGGGCCCCGGGAGGGGATGATGGGGACCCTGGTTCAGAGCAGGGTGGGGACGCCGGGGGGAGATTGGTGGGTCCCGGGGGGGAGATGATGATGATGGGGACCCTGGTTCAGA